ATAAGTAGACTGGACAATGAAACACTGTTTTAAAAATAATGAAAAGTTTGAGGAAACATCATATGAATCTGTCATAATTGCATATTTTTAAAGTGGTGTTTCTGTGTGTATGAACAGATCTTACGTAGATAGTAATTTGAATTTTCAAAAATAGTTTGGAAAAACGTGATTTAATTCTAACCAGATTGATGTACTAACGGCTAGTCTGAATAAGGCCAAGATCAAATAGAATCATTCCATCTTAAAATAACAGAGGTTTCTGACTGCAGAAATATTCCTGTTCTTCTGCCTGAAGAATAATGCCATTTGCTCATCAGTCTGGTCAGAATTAAACTTCATTTGTTTTAACTGAGGCCATTCAAAGAGCTACCTACAGCAGGTAAGATGTTTGTTGTTCATAACCTTCCAACAGAAGCTCACTTCAGAAAATCTGATTTAACAGTATCAGTTAGCTGCGTTTCGCAGACACATAAACGATCGTTTCAAAACAACACTTCACCTACATAACTTGGCTGAATAGCTGATCGTGATTTTATTTCAACCGTGGTTTTGGCGGCTGCTGTTTCACAATGCAAGTCTCTCAGGGCAGCTGATGCTTATCGTAGCTCTAGAGTTGATCAGAGTAGTGATGTCTGCCTTCAAACCGACACCACGTCATGTTTATATGTATGATTTCTGATAAGCTGCCATGGCGAGAGCAGAACAACAGCCAAGTGAGGAAAAGAAATAAATCATGTTAGGCGTAACTCATTAGCTGAGTCGTTTGGGTATACGGGGAGGATGAAGCAGTAATCAAAACTTTGCAGCAACAGGTGCACGCTGGTCCCAAGTTTTCCTGTGTGAGAAGCTGAATGAGGTCAACATGCTCAGAGCTCCCCCCACCCCACCCCTCAGCACACATTCCTCCATGACAAACAGGGCATTAGTTTCAAATGGACAGATAGCAACAGAGAAAGAGATGGAGGAGATATGTTTAGTGTGTAGGAGTCGAAGAGGAGGATCCGTTCCAGAAAGAATTCTCTCCTGCTTTCATTAGCTTCTTCGTCGCACAGCTGAGGACTCTGAAAGTCTGAACGTTTCAGCCATGTCGGAATCCTCAGGAAGGCACTGATTTTCTTTCAAACTTTATTCATTTCTTAAAAAAACAAAAGTAATTCTATGCACAATAAAAAAAGAAAATACAAACAAAATGAAATGAAAGGTGGCAGGTGACTGATAAGGCTGCTTCATAGGCGTAAGGGCAGGGTGGGTGTAGGACAAGAAGGTGAAAGGAAGAGTAAGTGGGAGAAATGGAGATAAAGGCTGAGAGGTGATGAGAGCAGAGACCTCAGCAGCAGTTGTGCGTGGAGACAGCACTGACATCCATTTATAAGCAAGCATGCATGGCTGCACGGTGACAATCAGCTGCATGCAAACACACACACCCAGACGCACGCACACCCAGACGCACGCACACACATCTCCTGACTTCAACCCTTTTTCATCCACCTGCAAATTCATCCTCCTGTAGTTTTCCGGTCATTCGGAGTTGATCAAAAGTGTCCAACAGTTTGAAGAAGTTTGATTCAACTTTAATCCTTGAATGAAATTTTATGTGACTTTATTTTTTGTGTCAGTAAAAAAAAAAAAAAAGAAATCTGCACTTGGCATGACACGTTTTTGATTGAACTTTTCCAGGAAGTAAACTATGCAAAAGTAAACTGATCTCCAAAGCACTGAAGGCTTATTTACTGTGATTTATTCTTTCGTTTTGCCAAAGAAACAATGAAATAATGTCTGAAACATGAAGAAAACCAGAAACAAGCCCGGTAAATACAATAAGACTTAAAAAATATTGAGATTATGATGGGTTAGAGATGCAGAAGTTTACTTCAACTGTTAAACATGGGGGTAGGTTGATCATGGTTTGGGCTTGGAAGACAGCCAGTAAACATAAACAACCTTTTACTGCTCTGGGGAAGAATGTTTTCATAAAACAGCAGTAAACTCTTTTAAKCCAACATTACGAAACCTCTTTATTTCCTTACACTCACTCACGTTAACTATTACATGTTTGACTGTTGGTGCAAAAATTTTAGTGCACACGTGCAATAAGTTTGTCCTCCTTTCACGTATGCTTTGTGGTCAAGATATAGAAAAAAGTCTGGATGAGGACCCTGAAATACCAAACTTTTAAAGGATTTATGCTGGTGTTAAAAAAGAGAAAGAAAAAGTTGGGTGGGAGTTAAACAGGTTGYTGGTTATTGTCAGATTGGATTTAAAAAGAAACCTATCATATCTGTTCACTGCAGACCCTGCTTCAGCCTCCAGGAAGTTATAGATTATAAATTTAGACTGATTAATCCTAATTATGTGTTTTTTTTATTAAATTTTTATTTATTTATTGCATCAGGAAGTGACTAATGAAGACCATATAAGGAAACTCCTCCTCCTTCTTTTTTCTTTCTCTTTCTAGTCAAAGAGTATTTTCCCTCCGGGTCTTTGTGGGTTTGTGTGTCTTAGATTGTGTCAGGATGTGCATACGGCGCTCAGCACGCACCCTTTGCGTGTCACCCCGCCAGATGCCCTCAGGTGTTATGCTTACACACGTACGAACAAACAGATAAACAGCAGCGTGCAGTCATGGGCTCACTCTGTTCAAGTAAATGTGGGAGTGGTGAAAATGATGCAAAGATCACTGCAGTTTGGTTTCTGACAGCTGGAGGTTTCCTGTCTGCAGGAAGTCTTGTGCCCTTTTTTTCCCGCTAAGTCATTGTGAAAGTGAGCATTTTCTTGTAGCGTGCTCGGCACTATCGACACATCATCTCATTCTCGTGAACTACTTCAGAAGTCCACGTCAAGAAGGTCTGAATAAATGTCTCCTGCAGACATGTTTGCAGAATTTAGCTTTATGCATSCCATCCTTTTCATGTGCTTTCAGTTTTTTTAGGCTTTTATTGTACACCACAACACGCACCGCTACGCTAATACTGTATATTCTTTGGAACATTCCAAAAAATTCAAAGACATTTTGCTGTTGAAAAAAATCTTCCCATGCATTTGGATTAAGATGCAACTATAAAAATTCCTTCTAATGCTCGTGTCAAGCCGAAACTTATACCTGTATCATCTTAATAAACATGAAACATTACTCTGATTGCAAGAAGATTTTTAATATTTGTTGAAAACAGATTCCTTTTTTGTGCTTTAACATGATCTTTGAAATGAACTGTGGTAATGAAGAAGTGTATGTTAGTTTTTAATGTAAATCTTTTAACACTTTTTTATTGTTTTTTTTTTGTTTTGTTACTTATTTACTCACCTTTA